ATATGCAACGATATTTTGATTAAAAACGCTTGTATTAAGATTTTCAGCTGAACGAAATGAGAAAAAAAGGAAGAACAAAACGAAAAAAAAAAAAACATAAGTACGAAGGTTTCAGTGTTACAAAGATAAACAAAAAAAAAAAAACAAAACGTATTCTTGTATAAAACGCATTTCTTTAATGCATAAGTAGATAAAGTATAAAAACGAAAAAAAAATGAAGTACGTCTAAGTTGTAAATAGTTGATGCAAAAAAAAAAAAAAAGAACACTTCGTTACTCTCTCGTATCGGGGATGTGAGTTACACGAAACAATGATCTTTTAAGTTGTCGAGAGAGAAACGTAATCGTAATATCGATAACAGACACACGTCTTACAGTCCTTCAATTATTTCGCAAGACATTTAATACTACTTAAATATTAATATTATTTATATTATCCACGTTAAACGAAGTATCTTTCGAACATCGGTTCGCTGAAACGAGCTCAATTCCGAACGCATACGACCCATTGTCTATACCTTGTGTTGCGTATGATTACACATTTTTTTTTTCCGATTTTTAGATTTTTTTTTTTCTCCATCGTAACCAGTCGACTAACGAACGAAAAATCACCGGCACTGGCATAAATAGATCGAATGTTTCATTTACAGATGAAACGTGTGCGCGTCATGATAGCATTATTAGTTTCACATCGAATGGCCCACTTATCTCCCATAAAATGGGGGGACGAATCTGTAAACGAAACATCATTGAACAAAAAAACGCCATTGACTATCTTTGTTGACGATCGTGTTACGTAAGAAAATGAGTTTCGCACGGAGAGTCGCTTTTTAGTTTTTAATTCACAGAAACGAAGTTATAGCTTTAACAATGCAACACGGGACTGGCATCTGGATTATTCAAAAATCATCTATCACCTGTTGGTGAGTTTTTTCAGGTGTTCGACTGCCTTCAGTCCTCTCTTTCAGTTAGAATTTCTTATCCTGCAACTATCTCCCGATTCTTTTTTTTTTTTTTTTTTTTTTTCCTTATAGCGTACACCAAACACACAACGCCAACCTTCCTTCTTTATCAATTATCACCCGGTTTTGTGTTAAAGGCATGTCGGTTCTCATCGAACGTCCCGAGGTGTTTGATGTTCACTCTTTAAAGAATAATAATATGTACATGTATAGATATCGAATGATAACATTTGAAACGTATAGGTTTATCATACTCAGGAACTATGTATTTGCAGGGTACCCTCCGTGATATCTACTTGTATACGATTGTCATTTTTCTATAAATTCGTACAACAAGAAGAACAACAACAACATCATTTCCACGAAAAATTAGTTCTTTCTTTCCATTTCACGCGTATCGATAATAATTATCATTCGTTGCCACACATTTGCACCGTGCAGATTTCAGTTTCATTGCTGGATCATTTCATTTTAACATCCGCTACCAAATACTCTGCGAATACCATAGTTAATTTTATTCAGCGGTTAGGGACCATTTCGTTGTTTGTATATATTTGCCGCAATTTCTCGGATGGTAATTCTATTTTTTTTTTTTTCTTCTTGCAAAGAAGATGCTTTGCTCGTGTTCAAGTCGGTCGCGTGTCTCTGTAAATTGTACAGCGAAAAATCTATCGGAAAAATGATTTTTCCCTTTGTTTCTCTCACGTGTGCAAGAGCGAGTCAGGCTCGTGGTACGATATGCAAGCGTTGTATCGCTTCATTCTCGTTGCATTGTACCGTGTCACTTTGTTACAGTCGCTCTAACTTTGATTCGTGAGATACGGAGCATTAGAGACTTTCACAGGTTCGGGTGAACGCGTAGAACCGAGATTAACGAATAAAACACGCGTTAGGTATGTACACCGGAGATTTTCAGCAACTTGAATAAAAGAGTTTCTTACGCAAGAAAAAGAAATCGATGATTTATTGTGCTTTCTTCGGAGTTAAGAAGTGTATTATTTATTCTGTATCGTTTATATCAACTACTTATTGTGTCTATAAATATTTTAGAATTTTATTTAACAGTCGAATTACACGAGAAACATATTACCGATAATTAACACGTTTCTCTTTGTAATTCGAAGATATAATATTAGATTTACCGAACGAAACATCTTTCTTTTTTTCGACTTTACGAGTCCTCAGTTTCCAAGCTATTTAACAAAGACATATTTTTCTTATTTTTCCTGTATCCTGGTTAAACGTGTTCAGTATCATTGGTTTGTTATTTTAATCTCTAGTTAGTACTTCGAACCTTGACCAAGAAGCGATATCTTGCCACCTTTGGCCTCTTCGATCGCGAATTTCTAATCCGAACAAGTAGCTTCACGGTCGATTAGAATTTTTGCGTGATCAGAAATTGCTTCTGCGCTATTTTTGTTCGATTTTCTTCGTTGTTCAGATAAACATCGTAATCTGCATCTTGCAAGAATTAATATGAATTCGATCCTAACTTTACCACTCTTGTTCATTTTGATATATTAACAGCGACAATATTAGCCGAGCTGTTTAAATGAAACACACTTGAGAAGATCACTTTTTCTGCTCGAACAAGTCCTCGCATTCGTGTCTAACTTGGTGTTCCTACTCTGATCATTACCTCGAAGAATTGAAGTAGTGATGGGATAACGAAAAGTGCCTCTTAAGATACTCGTATTTCGCATTTAATCGACGATTTTGTTCAACGAGTACGATAGTTGAATTAGATATTGTTTCTTGGTTGCTAGTTATTCGCGTCTTTCTCTCAGCTATAGTTTTTTAATACTTGGTGATATTGCTCTTTTAAAATAAAGAAACAAGTAATTAGAGTATACTATACGTATACAAAGTAATGTACGAAGCTTCTTAACAGTCTTTCTTTTTAGTCGTTAATTCTACAAGTTCATTTTTAAAATTTCACAAGTCTTTCTTTCCTTTCTACTTTCATCCGACAAAATCGAAATCAAAACGACCTGGTTATCGTGCAATATGTAGGTACACCTTTTTTTTTTTTTAGGTATTTTCGACCGATACTCTGGTTAAACATATAGAGGTAATTAGTTAGAAATTTGAGAACGTACCGTTGGAAAAACGGGGAAAGTTGCGATTACGGAGGAAAAATTTTCTTTGAAAAAATACACGTTTCGCGGAGCAAAGATTTAACGCTGTTTAGAAGACTTAGAAATCGACATATCCTAAGCTTCGCCTGTATTTTTTCCAACAAAATCATCGGTGTCTTTGATCGAAACTTTTCCATCGCTTCGTTCTCTTTCTGAAAATTTCATTTCGGAAGTTTGGACACGATAGTAACGATCGTTGTAAGAGTTTTCACGCGACGCTACAAATACCAGTTAGACTAAAACAAAACAAATGGCAGCCTGCGATGCTCAATGAAAGTGCTCAGGAAACAATTTTTCTACGTTTAAAACCGTGTCAGGATCTCTACGCAGAATAATTAAAAAGGTTTCAAGCTGTATACACTGTATATTAATATTTCCCTCCCTCCAGAATAGTCCAAACTTTTCACACTTGGAGTATCATTTTTCGTTAGTTGGTCGATCATTCGAAAATTTCTCGTTATTCTTTCATCGTTATCTCCTTCGTTTCACCATCGATATTATCGTTAATATCACGGTTTAAAGAAACAAACAAACGAAAAGAAAAAGGAATGCTAATTTACTTATCGTTATAGCTACAATAATGATAGCTGCTATATTATCGTTAATATTATTACCACTATTACTATGATTATTTAATTTTCTTAATTAACGTCTATTACTAGCGTGTGTACGCGAACAAACAGCCAAACGCAAGTGTACGTCGTAATATTGCAGTACCACGTAACAAAGAAATGAAAAAAAAATCAAGTGAAAACGATCGAAACACGTAGTGAATACTATATATATATATATCGTGGAAAAATTTCACGCAATTATACTATCACCGGAAGATCGACATAAACAGTGAACATCAATATTATCCTCGCACGTAATAAGTATAACAAGATACCACGTTCTTTCATTACTTATCGTTAGAAAGAAAGAAAATGAGATCGTGCACTCGAGCTCCATACACGTGTTTCTTATTTTCTTTCCATAAAACGTCAGACATGTCTATAGCACACTTTTATTTCTTCGATCCGTTCTCGAGAACTGTTCGCGCGGCAAACAGCGCTCGTAGTTGGAACTTAAAAAACAGTCGGATCGAGCCCTTTTCTTCTTCAGGAGTCGTATATTCCGTGGAAGTGAAAATTTGACGCGGCGAGGAAGGTCAGATTTGCATTTGCGAATTTTTGTTCGATTTATACTCAGATTTGTTCTTTCGTGACTCTTTCGTTGCTCTTTGCTGTGGAAAAAGTTGGCCCTTGGAGCTTGATTGGTCGTGTATATGTCGTTTTCCTTCGAACATTGGTCCTCACACTCTCTGAGTAGAAAATTCTTGGATGAGACTGTTGTTGAACCTTCTACGGCAGCTAGGTTCGTCACGTTTCGTCTGTCTATTCAGAAAATGCGCGTGTTTCGTTGACTCGCCAGCCAGCATCAGGCACCAACGCTGATTTCCCGCTGATAGTCGTAATTTTGACTGAGAGAAATTAGACTCAGGGGTGACATAAGTAAGTCAGACAGGAAGTTGCAAGTGAAATTGGCAAATGCGTCAAGGTTTCATTTCTCTGAAGAAGGAGACTTGATTCGATTATTTTTTAATGTTTCGACTGCGAGCGCTATTTGTCACGCGAACAAGAACGTCGTACCATCCTCTCTTCCCCCCTCTCTCTCTCTCTCTCTTTCTTTGTATCGATACGACGTTTTCGAGTCACCGATAAATAATAGAACAGCCACAAAGAGAAAATGAAAACTAAACGAAACGGTGAACACTATCCATGCTACACACACACAGACACAAACACACACACACCTCTTTCTTGTACAATAAAAAGAAATAAAAAGCAAAAATGAAGAAAAAAAAAATTAAAAACTTGAAAAAATTGCTGAAGGCGAAGTTAAACTCTATTATCTAGGAACGAGTGTTGTTCGAAAGTACGAGAAGAATCCTAAATTTCGATGGTTTTCTCGGATCGATTGGCTCGTCACATCGAGTCTGGGATTCTTGTCGGGGCGTTGTCCTGTATTATAATCCTTCTCTGTATCTTTCGATCTCTCTCTCTGTCTCTCCCTTCCTCCTCCCTTCCCTTTTTCGAATACAACGCGAAGAAAATCTCAGAAACACTCGCTTCCATTGAAACACAGAGTGCAGCACACACGTACACACACACATATTCAAAGATATAGAGTAACACAGAGAAAAGAGCAGAATTTTCGGAACACGGTGTACACACCCGACAATTGCATATTCTCCATACACACGTGACGACCGTGTGCACAGAACATATGCACGATTTTCTATGGGACACGTTAATTGTGGAAGTAACCGCGGATGCATCTGCGAGGCTGCGTGTGTAACATGTGAACGTGTGAGTGTCATTTTGTCTGAATGAAGAGAAAAAAGAATAAACGGCATCGAAATACATTTATCATGTGTTTATGTGCTTGTACACAGCGTACACAGGTTGTCGCGATACACCGAAACGGTCCTTCTTCCTATTACAAAAAAAAAAGAAAGAAAAACCACCTCCCCCGAAAAATAACGAAACACGGGGCGGCTACGTGTGTGCACGCAGTGATTTGTTTCTTACGAATGGTATGGATTCGATTTTTAGAGAAACACCGAGAGACAGTCGTACGTACAACCATGATCACAACGACACTCACGTGGAACGAATCGTTGTAACCGTAAACGAAATTCTTTTAGGTACTCGTTACCGACGAGGAAGCCCGAGTTCCGTGTCGATAGTCAGCTTCTTTGAGAAAACGAAAAATGACACTGAGCCGATTATGTGAGGAGGGGCTGTGATACCGATTCGATGTTGGGAATGAACACGAGGGCTAAAACGAAAAAAAAAAAAAGTGTCTCGCTACGTAATTTTCATTCTTTCCCTTTGAATTTTCAGTTTTGTTTCTAACTCTCTCAATTTTTCTGTTTCTTCTTCTTTGTATGTACTCGAATAAGTACCATCAAGATTTATCCAGACTCGCGAGGGAACGTCGCGAAGTGACGATCACCGATAACGACGAAACTTTGACGAGAAAGTATCGGAGACGTATTTTTTTTTTCATTTTACGATCGTCCAATTGTGCGGTGCGAAAATTGTCCTCAGGGACGAAGGTATTGTTTATTTTCTATTTTTCAAATTTGATGAAAAATACAAAATTACGTTTGTATCTCCGGTAACTTTCGAGATGTTAGGAGTGAATCCATTTACTACCTCAACTTCGAGTCCAAATTTCACCCCTTCGATATGCACGATTACCTGCACAAAAAAGTACGTATCTAATATTTTTTCAAGAGTGCTATTAACCCTCCTAGTGCCGCAGCTCGCAGATCCGTGCCAGAGTCACTTTTGACTCACACCGATATTCCACTAATCGTATTCATGGTCCCTCGAGCTCTTCGCCGATACTGTACTAACCCAGTGACGATCACTCGACTCGAGACCACTCGGTTCCAGATTACGATTTCTGTCTTACGTTTGCGAGGGAAAAATAACTAATTGTGAATTATATCAAAATTATGCTTATGAAATATTTGTTACATGAATGTATTTATTATTGCATACATTATAGATAATTGTACGAGTTTGCGTGGAATGGGCATTACAAACGCGTCTGTTACACTAATTACCTAGCACGCTTTTCACCTGCTACTCTAGTTTTTCTTACAATTTTTCTGGAATAATTTTTGGAAATAAGCCAACAATAACAAACAACAAGTAATAAAAACAAAGCTCAGCAAAACGATAGAACAACAAGAACTGATAACAAATAAGATTTTTAGAATAAATTGGCTTGATCGTACACGTCCTTCTTCCTGAAAGCGTTACAGCCAACTGTTTTCGGCCTGCACGGTAATTCGACGTCGCCTGCACCGTGCTTCGTTCGACGCAACTTTGTTTGTTCAGTTCTCACGCATGCACGCATACAGTGATCGAACTGATGGTGGCTTCTCCTTTGGACTTACATTGGCATTGGTGATGAACGATTGTGAGGTGTCGTCACTGTGCGCGTTACTTTTAAAAGAGCGGGTCACCAGTGACTCTGACACGGCATGCGGAGGGTTAAGTCACTCGATAAGTTCGTACCAAAAGTGAAAAATATTTCAATGAAAATCCAGACGTAATGGTCTCAGAAAAAAAAAAGAAAAAATGTGGAATTAAAAGGTACTTCCCTTATTTTATCAAATTTCGATATTCATTAGAGACAAAATCTGACAAAGAACTTATGGGATCACCCGAAAGTTTCGCCAAAATCGTTGATTGCCGCTTGGAGACGTTCCCTCGTCAGGCATATGTATATACATAGTTTGTTTTATTCGACGAAGGTCTAGACGATTCGGCCACGACCGCTAAGAATTTTCTCCATACCATCGTTGTGCACCAAGCAACCAGCCAAAGCATCGGTGTGGTTCGTTGTCCCGCGCGATTCTACTCTCTCGATCGTCGTTTGTATCTCGTTCTTGAAACGAAACGCGTGCAATGTCTGTCCTTTGTTTTTTTTTCTCTCTCTAATGCCTGTCCGCGAGAGGAGGATATCGGAAGGAAAGAAAGGGACAGAGAGGGAGCTGTTTGTCTCTCCGGATTCGCTTCTAGAGGTATAATACACGGCAATGCACACTGCTACTTAAGAGTTCCCGCCACTGAAAGTGCATAAGATCGCGACGAACCGGACCGTAATAGTTAGTACGAGACGAGAGATCGGTGTATCGTGAAGGCCATTATACGCGTTAGCTGTTACTCCATTCGTAGGATCGAGGTACGTTGTAAAAGAGATAACACGACGGCATGGTCCACGTGCTTCGACCTGGCAATAGGAACGATTATTTACCGTGAAGCACGAGTTATATGCATAATTTGTATCCCCCCCGGCAGTTGTACACTCTGTATCTTTCTTGAATAAACCGAAATAAATTTTTCTTTTAATTCCTTCAGCCAAACACGCGTCTCGCTGCTCGGCGACGATCAAGCGGAATGATATGCACAGTGTTTCGGTGGAACGTTGCTTGTTAAGGTGGAAGGTACGAGGGAAATTTAACGAGGTAATGTGGTAAAGTTTGAACAAGGAGAGTGTGTCATTCCGGTTCGTTCGTCGTTGACGTTTCTTTCTTTCATCCTTTGTCACTTTGTCCTTTGGTTCGCCGATTTTGTCATATGGTAGGAGTGTCGGAGAGTTTTGGTAATTAGGTTTCAGTCAATAGCGTCGAAGAAATTTTAATGCAAGTTAAAAATGTGGAGAAACTCACGGGAAAAATATTATTTTATATGCATACCTTCTTGTCAGATGGGAGAAAAACTGTGATACACTTTTTGGTGTGTCGTAGAATTTTGGTAATTATGTGCCGTGAGATAAACAGGGTTAAAAATCGCTGCTTTAGTTAACAGTGTCCAAGAAGTTCTAGTACAAATTAAAAAAGTGACGAAACTCGGGGAAAAAATATTTTATACGCGTATCTTTTTGTCAGATGGGTAAGAAAATATAATACACTTTTTGGTGTGTCGTAGAAGTTTGCTAATTAGTTAATATGTGCTGTGTTAATCGCTGTTTTAGTTAACAGTGTTGTGAAGTGAGTGCAGAGGAAACAGAAGATAGGATTGAAGAATACAGTCTCAAAGGTACGAAGGGATCATTAGAACAAGAAATTGTGGATGTATTGTTTTACGTGTTTAATAAATCCAACAATTCGAGTTGATCGGTAGAATTTCTCAGATAATGCTTTTCAGAACGGAAAGATAGGCCATCGACGCTTTTACTATCTGGAAAAACTAAAAAATTTCAGGTATTCTCATTGGAAACGATGTATTTTATAATTCACTATTAAAAGATAAACTCACGATGCCGAATGTTTCTAACGAGAACACGTAGAACTTGCCAGCTGTTAGGTACGACGGCTTTTGAGAGCGAGCGATGCAAAATATTAACGATCGCGTGTATTTATCTGGTAAATCGTACCAATTACTGAAGTAACAAGCCTGCTGCATTTCAGAACTCTAGAAGTATCAAAGGAACGTATGAAATTCTTTTCTCCGATAATAATTAACAATATCCTCCGAAGTGTGCAACGTGTAAAATACTCTCGAAGTAAATTATTGTAAGTGCTTCTCTTTGGTGTAAATAACGTAATAATTACCTCGTTAATCAGGCACTCTCCCAAGAAACAATAGCAGAATGCTAGTAATATAACGGCGCAGGAATAAATTATAAAGTGTATCGTGTTCATGTCTTCGCCCGATTCGCTCATCTACAAAGTATGAAACTCTTTTTAAAACCATTATTCTGAAATATTGCTGATAATTAATAGCAAGAAATGTGTCGGTTAAATTGATGGAAAGATTACGTGCCGAATACATCGGAATAGAGAAGTAATTAATTACCGTGAGTAATTGAAAGACGACGATGCATAAAGAAAATATCAACCCTAAAGTTTGTATAAACATCAGAGTACTAAACGTCTCTGCCAAAATGCCCGCCAATCTACAATTGAACGAGCGTAGTCATTTTGTAGAAAAATAAATTCAAATTAGATTTAAATTAAAAAATTGTTTCTTAAATAAAACGTTTTTTCACTGGTTCGAGGAAAAGTATGCGTGCGTTTCGTATTGGAGTTTCTCACCGTAGAAGTTCGGTGTGCCGTTCAACGAGTGCTTTCATTTGTGGGAAATACTTTTGCGGCTCGACGTCGATATTTTTTACACGGCTCGACAGGATCGAAAATTGACTGCAAAGATGGAAAGTCAAGGTGACTAGAAGACTGTCGGCGCCAGTTGCACCGATTGTTAGTAACATGCTCGTCGGTACGAAGTAAACGCAGAACAAAGCGTACGTCCGCACCTCTGTCACTTCGTACAGGTGGTTCACTTTCATTGGTAGCTCGTAAGGAAGAGTACAGTTACTGAACTCTGTGGATCAATTGGAAATGTTGATAAAAATGTCGCTTCTAAATACGAGGTTTGATTGAAAAAAAAAAAAAGAAAAATAGGCGGAGTGTGAGTGTAACTTAATTTAAACGAGAAAACTAGTGGTGCAATGTGTGATTAGTATTGGAGATTTAATTGGCGTTGAGTTTATATCGAAAAGTTTTTCCTTTCGAGACTTATAATTTTTGTAATTCGATTTTTTTTTTGCCTTCGCGATTTTTATTTAGAGAAAAGGCAAGTATTTTCGTTTTGTTTTTGATAATCAAATAAATTAAAGGGTATTTAAAAATTGCTCTAGAAAATTTGTTCCTTGTTTCGTTATAAATTTCCTCCTTTCCGCTATTCACTGCAAAAGATGTAACTCTCGTATAACACTGTTTAAAAATTGTAGGAGCCATCGTATAATAAGAAAAATGAATACTTTACAGAAACTTTAATTTTAATTTTATTTTTACTTTTACTTTTTTTTTTTTCTTGTTATCCGAGAGTTACCTGTCTAAAGATCCAAAATTCCCGTTCCACAGCTCGCGCGACTTCACCAAAACGAAAAGAGGGAAAGAAGCACGTAAGTAGAAACCTCGTCGAGTACATAAATTCGCGTATCCCTGGGCAGCGAACGAAGACGCGTTGGAAACGGCCGTGAAAAAGAGAGTCACACCGTCGGTGGTCGCGCAAAATCTTCGACAAACTGTGACAGCCTCGTAAAACGTAACCGTTTGTGTATCGTGAAGGAAGTAACTGTCGCCTCGGAACACCATAAAGCTGCATACGCGAGGTAACTGTACGCGCGATCATATGGATACGGATATCGAATGCGTTTCCTGGATCCGAGCGATAAAGTCCGCATTAAAGTCTTGATTTATCTCGATTGTGAATCCGTGACGCGCTGATAATGCCGGCCACCTTAATAAAACCGACACTTTTACCGCTTTCTTCGCCCTGCAGCCCGCAACCACGCACAGTTCTTTCGCCTTTTTAATGACACGACGCGTGAGAGGGTTAATCTTAACGAAGCAGTCCGGTTTGAAAGTGTCAAAAAATCAATTTTTTCTTTTTCTTTTTTTGTATAAATGAAAGGACTTCTGAAAAATATGAAGCTATAATATCAAGCACGAATTCGTAAAAATAACGAAGTTACAGGGACACTTATGGAGAAGCGTCGGTACTCTAACTTTTAAGGTGTTTTTCGCGAAATTGACTGGGAATATTATCGACACTCAATATCTTTATCCATAGTGTTTTTATAAATAGCATAAAACCGATTTCCTTGGTAGACAAATTTTTTTCTTCTTCGAAACGGTACGACACTTTCAAATTTTCACTTTTTTCCTCAATTAGATTAATTTTTATTTGCGTTAATTAGTGCAGTGACTCAATTTCACAAGTGCAGGACTGCAATATAACTGTGGTGTCGTATCGGTCCACGGATACGGGACTTGGATCACGACGAATAGATTGTGGTATATTGAGAACTAACGAGAATCCGGAGTACAAGTTTATTTAATTTGCTGGTAAACTACAAGTCTCGGCTTGTGATTCTAGAACAGACTCGGCTGATCGTTTTTTGGTATGTATGGTTTGGTGTTCTGAGGAGGACTGACTCACAAATTGGAGGAGTACAGGAAAATTAGAGTTGGTGTAGGCGGAGTGAAAATCTGGGGGTAGAATATTGAAATGATGGAAATTCGGTGATTGGTCTTAGGATATTTGCAAGAGGATAGGGAAAGGGTAAAAGTGGGGATGGAAGTTCGAGGGGGCCTAGCGTTTTGGAAAATCCCAGTAGGAGAGGAAATCGGACATCAGAGAAGGAAAAGACTAGTGTGCTAATTAGAAAATTGGTAAAATGGATCGGTAAACGTTTTACGGGGGTACGCTTGTCTGACGGTCCCGATAATCCTCTGCGTGGAGGCTCGGTCAGGGCAGATTTATGGTTTTTTTTTTTTTTTTACCAAAACCAATTAAAAATGTAAACCTTCACATAGTAAAAGAAATATGTAAGCTCGAAATAGCAATTACCCCGATCAATTTCACCCTCGAAAATCAATCGAAACGATTTCACCAACGTCTACCCTCGATCGCGTCCCGAATCCGCGGATATCGAACTTACTCGACAACAGACAGCCGACGATCGGCTTCGTATAAAATAACGTGGGCACGAAGAACAAAGACATGGCCGACGACGTGGAAAATAAGGTGGCGGCCACGCTGTACCATACAACCGTTCGCCTTTCCTCCTGCGACCGATACAGTCCCTGTTTCACGTCCTTTCTCACTGCCTCGAGCAACGGCAGGACGAGATGCATGTTCAGCCGAAACATCACGGCCTTCAGCACTATCAAGATGGTCGGGAACGATAGCGTGATATTTTTCAACGACTTCTCAAGGTCGTGTATATTCTGCAGCAGCGTCACCATCTCCAGCCACGTGAAGATCACCACGTAGCTAATGTAGAAGAAAAATCGTACGTCGTTGCGATTATCCGGCCACAGGCCGGATAAGCCGAGGAGACGTTTGCTCCACGATAGCACGTTCTCGTCGTAGAACAGTTCCACGTTCAACGATACCGACCTCCTCATCCTCGTCGACGTGACAACCTGACCGCTCGAGGCTTTTAAGCTCCGCACAACTCCTCCGGTGTGCGGTATCGTAAATACCGATGTAACCCTTCTGTTTTTTTTTTATTTTTCTTCTTCAATATCGAGTATAGTGTAACCTACGGCTGTTGAGTTTTAAAAATTGTGTAAAGCGAGGATTAGAGTCAACTTCGTATCAAGTGCAATCTGATTTCCATCCTCCGGTATGGCAACGTAACGTACTCTAAAGGATTCTATAATCTTATGTACGATTCATACGCAGTAATGTAATTTAATTAGCCGTTAAATACGGATTTATAGATTTGCGATGTTTTTCTGTAATAGTGAAACTTTTTGCGAACAGTTTGGATCGATGGTAGTTGGGTATTAATGGGTGATTATATATTCTGTGATTGTTTCCATCGGCATGAATTGCTCGTGATTGCTCGAGTCGAGACTGTAACTTTGTCAGAGGCAAATCAGCATATGTTATGGAGTTTCGTTTACTTTGGAAAGAAGGATAGGAAGGAACGATGGGGGGTGAACGCGTAAGAGAGCAATTATTCGGTTTACCAGTGTTTCGAATAGAGAACTTTAGTTCTGCGAACGTTCGTAAATGGGGGTGCAATTACTTTCTTGCGCTCGGATCTTCGTTCGATGACACCGTACGCGTAATATTCCTTTTCGGACTTCGATGTAGAATTTCGTGGTGCATTTTGTATCTAAGATTGAAGGAAAAATAAAAGTCGTGGAAAGTACAATCGCAAAATTGAAGTTAGTTAAAAATTGCACAGAATACAATTTATGTGTCGATTAATCTAAGAAATTCTTACAAAAATTCCAAAGTTTACCAACTAATAAAGAAGTAGAAAAAAAACTATCTACTGTTAGTAACTATATGTCTGTGTGCATAAATTTACGAAAAACAAATATTAGAGCGTATTTAAAAATGCAATTCGGCAGAACGAGTCGTAAACATTAAAGCTCGAGGAAAATTGATCTGCAGGTAACCCTTAAACGAACATTTCGCCTAACTTTACGACCTATTCCTCCACTACTACATCTCTTCAATTCTTCGCAAAATTGACCATACAAACAAACGCGTTTTCGTCCACGTCGATTGGTCCACTCCTGTTCTTTCGTTCGCAAGAAATTCACTCAATCAGAGATGTCCGTGAACGTCGGCGGAGGTCGGAAAGATAAGGAGAATCGATCGGCGGTAATTCGAAATAAAACTCGGACCGGCAAACGGACAAGGGATCCTCATTCGAGGACGATGAAGAGCGCGTGTGCGCGATGCCGGAGTTTGCGACGGAGCTATCGAATGCAACCAGTGTCATGCAGTCGTTGTACCGAGTGCACGTGGAGAACGTTGTTCATGCGAGGGAAAATAGGGAAGTACGCGGAAAAGAGGGCGTTCGATCGCTTTGAGGATCTCACGGGTGGAAGGAAACACGGCTCGAGATGAGGTACAAACGGATCGGTGTGATTGGCGCGTTTTTGATCGCGACCGTCTGCTTACTATCCGGGCTGATGTACTATTTTAATCAAGGTACATTTTTATTTCGATCACTATTGTCAATTTCTGAATGTTTCATTTATTTCGTACATTTTTTTGAAATTTCTTGTGCACTGTTTTGATCAACGTATATTATTATTTCGATCGCTATTGTCAGTTTCTGGGAATTTAATTTAATTTGGTGCATTTTCTTTTATTTTTAAATTTTAATCAAGGTACATTTTTATTTCGATCACTATTGTCAGTTTCTGGGAGTTTCATTTATTTTGTACACTTTTAAAAAATTTTTATATTTTACTTGAATATACTGTTAGGTAAATGCAAGTACGCTTATTTTATTGCACGTTGCATTAGTGAGTGAAGATATTTAGAAAGTGTGTTTGGATTTGTATAAAAATTATTTTAGGCGATATACACTGCAGAGAGCAATTGTAATATTAATATGGTAAGTAATTATGTTTGTTGGAGGAAATGATTTCTTGGTGTATGTCCTATAGTTTATTATATTCAACAGAATATGCATTATTACCAAATTTTTAAAAATCGAATTGCAAAAACATTTGCAAAATTAACGAGAATAATATTTTGTCTGTTTTATTACTGCATTTTTGGTTAATAATAATTCTTACATTTCAACAATATGAAACCAGTGTATCATTATATCAGCAACAATTACCAACAGTTTAACGTTCTATTATTCATCAAGATAATTGCTCAATGAATCGAATCGAATTGATTACATATCTTTCACTCCTCCTTTAAATACCAAAATCATGAAAAAGAGTAACGAGTCAATTAAGAGTAAAAAAACGACGATAAAATCAAGAAAGGAGAAAATTAAGGGATTAAACCCCATAGTAATAACACACCCCCTTTCATTTACAAGCGGGAGACCAATTGGAATTATTCTCTATTTACGACTTCCAGGTCAGGTTAATCAATCCTGATTCCTCCTGATTCACGATATTACACATATTACACCGAGAATAAACCATAATTGCAAACACAATATTTCATCCATAACAATTACAAAACAGAATAACCACTAAAAAAAAACCACTCTTCTAATTTTCCACTCACAATTTTTACAGACATTTGCCCTGTTGGAACGTTCCTCTGCCCGAACACCACGTTCTGTCTGCCCCAAAGAAATTGGTGCGATCAGGATCCTCACTGTCCTGGCGGATACGACGAGGAAGATTGCTGTACGTTCAAACACTCATTTTTCTCCTTTTAATTTCGATTGAAACAAGAATTCGATGCAGCTTATAATTCGAATTTAACACGTTAGCAATTTGACAAAAACAAAGTCCGATACTCTTTAACACAGAGGCAAATTAAATGGAAAATTTAGCCCCGATGCACGACGTTTTTATACGTACAACCTTGCTTTGTAATTTCACGGTGTACTACCAATTGCAATATAAAAAACGTTACTTTGTATGCAGATGATTATCACGGTGTATTGGACTGGTTTCACAATGACAGGGATTCCGAGGCTGTAAGGGAGTCCGTTTGCGGTAATGCAATGTCCATAATTTATCGAACAACGGAACACAATATCAAATAACAGATATAAAAATCCTCGCGATAAAGTGCAAAACGCAATGGACGAGATAAGAATTGCTTCCTTCTGCACAGTTTTCTTTTTTTTTTTTCTCCCCTTTT